TAAAAGGACTCTGTTGACAGCTTTGTCCCAGAGAATTGCTCGTTTACCTGTCTTAGAAAACTTAAGAAAACATCAGTTATTGAATTTATTACTCAAGCATTAATCCCTATTATCCCTAATTGCACTAATTTTCCAGAGACCCATCGCCTATGTGGTCAGTATGAAAAGATCCTGGATCAAGGCACAAAGCATGAGCATGGGAATATCCAAGAGAAGTCTTATGAATTTAGTGAGCTAGACAAAATGATTCTTGAATCCTCCCAATGTAGACCACCTTATGCTACTGCAGAAAACTACAACAAGTACAGTAATGACAGACAAACCTGTCTTGAAACAGTAAACATAAACAGACATAAAAGAAGGAATATTGGAGAAGAACCTTTCAAATATAAGGACTGTGTAAACTCTTTAAATTTGTATCCCATCATTAGCCAAGATCAAAGACTCCACACAGGAAGAAAAGAATACAAACATACAGAGTATGATCAATCTTTTAACTCTAAGCATAAAATCATGACCCAGAAAGACAATCTTAGAACTCATCAAAGAATTCATAACGGAAAAAAACCTTTCAAATATAAGGAATGTGACAAATCCTTTACTGGTGGCTCTGATCACAGAAAACATCATCAATTTCGTACAGGTGAGAAACCTTACAAATGTCGTATATGTGACAAATCCTTTACCCTGAAAAGCACTCTTATAATTCATTGGAGAATTCATACAGGTGAGAAACCTTACAAATGCAGTGAATGTGATAAATCCTTTATCAAGAAATGCAATCTTACATCTCATCAGAGAATTCATACAGGAGAGAAACCTTACAAATGCAGTGAGTGTGAGAAATGCTTTTCCAGGAAAGACTATCTTACAAAGCATCAAAGCATTCATACAGGAGAGAAGCCTTACAAATGTAGGGAGTGTGACAAATCCTTTACCCGGAAAGGTAGCCTTATAATTCATCAGGGAATTCATAGAGGAAAGAAACCTTACAAATGTAGGGAGTGTGACAAAGCCTTTAGGAGGCCCTCATCTCTTAGACTACATCAGCAAATCCACACAGGGGAGAAACCTTTCAAATGTAGTGAATGTGGCAAATCATTTACTCGGAAAAGTGATTTTATAACTCATCAGAAATTTCATACAGGTGAGAAACCTTACAAATGTAGTGAATGTAACAAATCCTTTACACTGAAAGGCAATCTTAAAACTCATCAGAGAATTCATGCAGGAAAGAAATCTTACAAATGTACTGAATGCGACAAATCCTTTACCCAGAAAGGCTGTCTTATAATTCATCAGAGAATTCATACAAGAGAGAAACCTTACAAATGTAATGAATATGACAAGTCCCTTACCCAGAAAAGCCATCTTATAACTCATCAGGGACTTCATAAAGGAGGAAAACCTTACAAATGTGGTGAATGTGACAAAACTTTTAAGAGTGCCTCATCTCTTAGAATGCATCAAAGAATTCATACAGGAGAGAAACTTGTCCAGTGTAGTGAATGTGACAAATATTTTACTCGTGGCTCAGATCTTAGAAAACATCAAAAATATCATACAGGAGAGAAACCTTATAAATGTACTACCTGTGACAAATACTTTACCCAGAAAGGCCATCTTAGAACTCATCAGAGAATTCATACAGGAGAGAAACCTTACAAATGTAATGAGTGTGACAAATACTTTATGACTCTCTCATATCTTAGAATTCATCAGAGAATTCACACGGGAGAGAAACCTTACAAATGCAGTGAATGTGAGAACTCCTTTACCCAGAAAAGCCATCTTACAACTCATCAGAGAATTCACACAGGAGAGAAACCTTACCAATGTAGTGAATGTGACAAGTCGTTTACCAAGAAAGACACTCTTAAAACTCATCAGAGAACTCACACAGGAGAGAACCTTCAGAAATGTAGTCAATTTGACACATCCTTTATTCACCCTTAGATCACATCAAAGAATTCATACAGGAGAGAAACCTTAGAAAAGTGATGTATGAAGAACAATGTTTACCTGCCTCTGAGGTTAAGAAAACCTCAGAAAAATACATACTAGGTAGAAAAGTTACCATTTAATATAATATGGCATGTACTTTATTCAAGTTCTCTCCTTAGCAACCCTCAAGGCTCCATAATACAGAATCATTATGAACATGAGAAACTTGTGCAACTCTTTAACTAGTGTTCAAATCTTTGAAGACATCAAGACTTTATCCTGGGGAAAATTCTGAACATGTGATAATGCAGAAAAAATTTCATTAAAACATTTTCTTTGTTCAACCTCAACTACTTCATAATGAAGACAAAATGGAGAAGTCTGAAACCTCTGCTGTTGTGTAACAGTTTCCTAGAGACTAAAATGATCCATTCTGCAGAGAAGCTGGTTAAAACAGGAAATACACCACTCAAAAAAGCTTCAAGAAATCCCTGAAACTGACAGCATCCCAGATGTTTAACTGAAATAAAGAACCTCAGACAAATAAGGCAACATAGAAGAGGATTTGTCAAACTGGATCACGAAGATAGGACATTCTTTAATCTATAGGTATGTCTATAGGTCTGCAGTGTGCTGCTGGTGTCATAAGTTGTATTCATAAGTTGTATCAAATGTGCCATTCAAGATTCAGGATAGTAACTGTCTTTGTGTCCCTTGTACTCTAGTAAGCAACTCTATTCCTATATTCCTGTAATTCCAATAAAGCTCGTTGGTCAACAAGTTAAATTTGGTTTTGATTTCAGTTTCCATTCAAAGTGAGCAGACGGCTACATATATTGCATGTCCTAGGATGTGTCTCATAAAACATGTGGTGAACTCATTAACTCATTGTTCCTTAAAACCTGTTGCAAATAGAAAGTTGATAAAAAGAGCAATAATTCTCAACCTGTATCTCTTGACCCCTTTGGGATTATGACCCATTCATGGGGTTTGCCCAAGTTACAGGAAAACCCATGTTTCTGATGAGCTTAAGAACTGACACGCAATTACTCTGTTGTTCTCCGGGCAGGCCTCCTCACATGGCCATTATGCCCACACACAAGTACCAGGAACTGTGTTATTAGGAAAGTAGTTACCGCTGTATTAGAGAGAAGACATTTGAGTTAACTAAAGTATGAAAGATTGTACTTGATGCTCCAGGGTTATTTCCATAGCAGGACTTGGTTGTGGACTCTACCCAAACAGGAGACTCAGGTAGCAGACATGTCTTCTTTTAATTCAAGGAAGAGTGAGAATCAGGTCTGCAAAAGGAAAGATGAAAGGAGGTTGTTGGTGGCACACACATTTAATCCCAGCACTCGGGAGGCAGAGGCTGGCAGATCTCTGTGAGTTCGAGGAGAGCCTGGTCTCCAGAGCGAGTGCCAGGATAGGCTCCATAGCTACACAGAGAAACCCTGTCTCGAAAAACCAAAAGAAGAAGGAGGAGGAGGAGGAGGAGGTAAGATGAAAATACAGCTAAAAAGTTGTCAGGAGCAGACATCACCCAAACTGGGTTGTGTCCCTGAAGAGCTCTAAAACTCACACTAATGCTGCATGAATCAGCTAAACTCCAATGACCCTCAAAATAATACCACCTGTGGAGAAATACTACAGTCTGTTTTGGTGTCCTTGTGTATTACTGTCTTTAACACTATATTCCAAATGCCCCAAGAAATGAACTGAATGTCATTTTGTTTAACATAAGACTAATATTGTTCAAATCCTAGAATATTCATCATTAATGGAAACTCAATAAATACCTGTGCTAGAAAGCCATTTTCATTTTAATTTCACCTGGTACTCTATTCATAGAAATATGACATTATGAAGGCTTAAAAAGATAATAAACAAGGCCGGGTGTTGGTGGCACATGCCTTTAATCCCAGCACTCGGGAGGCAGAGGCAGGCGGATCTCTGTGAGTTCGAGGCCAGCCTGGTCTACAGAGCGAGTTTGAGGATAGGCTCCAAAGCTACACCAAGAAACCATGTCTTGGAAAATAAAAGACAGTAATAGAATTGGAGCCTTAGCATAGCACCTACTGGGAGATGTGAGTGCTGGACCTTTTCCTGCCCCCTCCCCACATCCTTGAAAGCCCTTGAAGGAGGCATGTAAACCTTCCAGCCCACCAAATCTCCAGAGACCTGGGGGCAAACCAAACCATCCAGCATAAGCTGCCATTGGAGCCTTATCACTGCTCCCACTGGGAGAGATGGTCCTGGGTCATCTCCTGCCCCCCCATAGAAGCCCTTAGACAGGTCGATAAACCCATCACACCCACTATATCACCAGAGACCTGGTGGCAGACCAAACAATCCAGGAACTGCCACCATTTGAACCTTGACCCTGCACCCAAGAGGAGAGGCCCCACCTACACCTACTGGAAGAAGAGATGGGAAGATGACAGTATAAGAACACATTCAACATCATAAAGAGCAATATTACACCATCTGTGTCTAGGGGTTCTACATCAACAAAATCTGAACATCCCAACATAGATGAAGCAGAAGAAAATGACCTCAAAGAGGTCATTAAAGAGGAAATGAAATAAATCCTTTAAAGAAATAGAAGAAAAGAAAAACAAAACCTGGAAAACATGAAGGAAAAGACAAAAAACGAAAGAAATCAACAAATCTTTTGAAGAAAGAAAGCCAAGAAAAAATTATTAAAGAGGTGAAGGAAATAATTAAAGCAGTTAAAGACTTTAAAATTGAATAGAGACAATAAAGAAAACACAAACTGAGGGAATGCTTGAAATAGAAAATCTGGGTAAATGATCCAGAACAACAGATGTAAGAATAACCAACAGAATACAAGAGATGGAAGAAAGAATGCCAGGTGTTGAACATACACTAGAAAAAAAAATAGATTCATTGACCAAAGAAAATATAAAGCCAAACAAATCCTTAACCCAAAATATCCAGGAAATATGGTACACCATGAAAAGACCAAACCTAAGACCAAACCCATCTCACAGGAGCAGAAAACATGTTCAACAAAATCATACAAGGAAACCTTCCCAACCTAAAGAAGGATATGCCTGTGAAAGTCCAAGAAGCTTACACAACAAATAGACTGAACCAAAACAAAAAAATCCCCTCAACACATAGTCAAAACACCAAACATATAGAATAAAGAATATTATGAGCTGCAAAGGAAAAGGGGCAAGTAACATAAAAAGGCAGGTCTATCAGAATTATACATCACTTCTCAATGGAAACTCTGAAAGCAGGAAGGTCTTGGCCTTGAATGCCAGGCCAGAGTACTATACTCAGCAAAGCTTTCAATAACTACAGATGTTCCATGACAAAACCAGATTTAAATCCATATCCACAAATTCAGCCCTACAGAAAGTTCTGGAAGGAAAGTTCCAACCCAAGGAAGTGTACTACAGTCACAAAAACATAGGCAAGATTATACTACATTACCAAGGACCCCACCAAAAAAGGGAAACACACATAATACCACCATCGACAACAAATCTAAAACTAACAAGAATCAACAATCAGAGGTTATAAATACCCTCTATTATCAATGGTCTTAATTCGCCTACAAAAAGACAAAGCATAACAGAATGGATACAAAGACAGAATCCATCCTTCTGCTGCATACAAGAATACTCCTCAACTTCAAAAGCAGATGTTACCTCAGAGTAAAGGGTTGGGAAAAGACTTTCCTTTCAAATGGACCTAAGAAACAAGCTGGTGTAGCTATCCTATTAGCTTTCAAACTAAAATTAATTAAAGAAATGAAGAATGCCATTTCATACTAGTCACAGGAAAAATCCATCTGCATGAAGTCTCAATTCTGAACATCTCTGCCCCAAATAGGAAGGTGCCCACATTTGTAAAAGAAGCATTACTAAAACTAAAGTCACATATAGAACCCCACACAGTTAGAGTGGAAAACTTCACCCCCTCACTCTCAAAACTGGACAGGACTACCAGGCAGAAACATAAAGAAACAAAGGAACTAACAGAAGTTATGACCCAGTTGGGTTTAACAGACATCTATAGAACATTCCATCCAAACACAAAAGAATACACCTTCTTCTCAGTGCCACATGGAATCTTCTCTAAAATCGACTACATAGCAACATAGAAAAACTCAACAGGTACAAAAAAATGGGAAAAAAACACCTTATAAGACCAACATGCTTTAAAGTTATTTTCAACAACAGCACAAATTGCAGAAAACCTACAAACTCATGGAAATTGAACAATGTGCAATTGCACCATTCCTGGGTCAAGGAAAAAATAAAAAAGAAATTAAAAACTTCCTAGAATTCAATGAAAATGAAGACACAACATACCAAACTTATGGGACACATTGAAAACTGTGCTAAGCGGAAAGTTCATAGCTCTAAGTGCTGAAGAAACTGAAGAATAGTCACACTAGAGACTTAATAGCACACCTGAAAGCTCTAGAACACAAAGAATCAAACTCACCCAGGAAGAGTAGATGCCAGGAAATAATCAAGTTGAGGGCTGAAATAGATAAAATAGAAACAAAGAAAACAATACAAAGAATCAATGAAGCAAAGAGTTGGTTCTTTGAGAAAATGAACAAGATAGACAAATCTTTATCCAAACTAACCAAAAGGTAATGGGCAAATTATCATAACAATGGACACTAAGGAAGTCACGAGCATCATCAAGTCATACTTCAAAAACATGTACTCCACAAAATTGGAAATGTTAAGGGAAATTGACAATTTTTGGACAGGCATCACCAAAATTAAATCAAGAACAGATAAGCAATTTAAATAGACCTATAATCCCTGATGAAAGAGAAAGAGTTGTCAAAAGTCTCCCAACCAAAAAAAGCCCAGTGCCAGAAGGCTTCTGTGTAGAATTCTAGAAATTCAAAGAAGAGCTAATACCAATACTCCTCAAGTTGTTCCATACAAAAGAAGCAGAAGGGTAATTGCTAAACACTTTATGAGGCTACAATTACCCAAGCCACACAAAGACAAAAGTAAGAAAGATAACTACAGACCAATCTTCTTCATGAACATTGATGCACAAATCCGTAATAAAATACTGGCAAATCGAATCCAAGGAGGCAACAGACATGTTGTACAACATGATCAGATAGGCTTCA